GAGAATGATCGGGAGAGCTGGCAGAGAATCTGTTGGAAGCAATTTTTAACCAAAAATCCACAAAATACAAGATAGGGAATAATATCAAGATGCTGTTGGTGATGTTCTAAACCTATAGCACGCGCCGTGTCTTCCAAAACAAGTACAATGCTAATCCGGGTCCATGAGAGAGAAATTGTATGCTCTTGAGAATGACCGGGCAGAAATTTGGAAACTGAAATGATTGCGAGAGCAGGAAGAGAATATGTTGGAAGCAATTTTTAACCAAAAGTCCCCAAGATACCAGATAGGGAATAATATCATGAAGCTGAAAATGTTGCTCATAAAGCATATGCGCCGTGTCTTCCAAAACAAGTACAGTGCGAAATTGTATGTTCTTGTGTGGAGGAGAATGACCGGGCTGAGATTCCGGTGCTGCCTGCTGATGTGTGGATCAACAATACGCATCTGCCGAACTCCCTCAGCCTTATCCCTACTGTCCTGTTCTGCCAGTAGCGCGCTCAATCAGGATTAGAGCTCCCTATGTTCAATCACAATTAAACTCCATATACTTCCCTACGTAAAAAATATTCAATTCCATAGATGAGTCTGAACATACATTCATCTTCTGTATTAGACTTTTCCGTGATACAGGTAGTAGAAGTACTACAAGCAATAATCTTAAAAAAAGTTCATAAAACTACAAATACTTTATACGATCTATCATAAAAATATAGATTTAAAAACTTGTTTCATGAAACTACAGATGTAGCTAGTGTCTCCATTTATCACAACAACTACAGGTAATTTGTACTATCTATCATAAAACTACAGATTTTAAAACTTGTTGCACAAAACTACAGATTTAATATTTTTATTTATCACAAAACTACAGGTCTAGTGTCTTCATTATCACAAAACTACAGGTTTTAGCAAACTACAGGTTTTAGCATTGTTAAAACCTGTAGTTTTGTGATAATGGAGACACTAAATCTATAATTTTGTGATAAATGAAGACACTAAATGTGTAGTTATGTGATAAATGAATACACTAAATCTATAGTTTTGTAAAACAAGCTCTTCAATCTATAGTTTTGTGATAGATTGTACAAAATACCTATAGTTTTGTGATAAACGGAGACACTAAGTCTGTAGTTTTGTGAAACAAGCTCTTAAATCTGTAGTTTTGTAATAATTTGTGCAAAATACCTGTAGTTTTGTGAAATTTACTAAAAAAGAAAGAAGTACTGCAACCACTAATCAATACATACATCTTTTCCGTCACTATTTTTTTCAAATAACATTCGAAAAGACTATAAAAAGATAAATAAATGAAACTATTCTTCAAAACAAATTGTGGAGATTACGAGTACCCTATGCCCACACGGCATGCTTATCTCACTAGAGATAGAAGGTGAACTGGATTCATGTATTATGTAATAGCTTAAGACTTGGGAATTATTACCTTGCCTTGTTTCCTACGGCATGAAAACTGATGTTGCATTAGGTTAGGTTTTCCTCTTGGTAATCCTGCCCTAAAACTATATAAGGTGTGCAGGGAGCATATTCATAACATACTTAATTGTCAGGATTAATACACACCCGGTGAATGCAATCCTCAAACAGGATACACAGTCCCTAAACAAGAGTAGGATATTAGTTCTTGTCGATAAGGCTTAAACATGTCTAAATCTTCCCTTTACTTAATTATCCACTTTTAGTTTTTGTATGCCACCTCTCTTTCTTATTGCCGATTTTTAGAATCGAGACAAACACAGAAATATCAATTTTACATATCAAAGTATCAAAGCTTAATATTTTCCTATATACTCCCTCCATCTACTTTTGATAGTCATATTTCCAAATCTGAAAATTTTATTTTTGATAGGCATATTTCAATTCAACAACCTATCATCTTAATGACTTTCTCGGATTTATTGCATGACTCTCCATTCTTCCACACAAGATTGGTTATATTGGCATCGAGAAATGTAAATATTAATGAATCGCTTGTTTACGAGGAATGACTAGTAGCATATTTAAATGGATGTTAAGTAGAATTACTTATCTTTGGTCTGTGTGTCAAGATGAAATATGACTATCAAAAGTAGATGGAAGGAGTAGTATTTATTAAACATTTAAATGTCTAGCTACACATATTCTAAAATAGGGAAATTTTGCTACAGGACACTGCTATTGTGTGGTTTTAACCTTAGAACACCACAAAAACTAACTTTTGGGGGAAAACACTCCATAATCGTGATATTTTGCCAGTAGACACCACGCAGACTAAAATAATTATTTCTGGTTGAAGAGGTGAGAGTAATTGCGTGAAATATCAAAAATACCCTTGACCCACAAGTCAGCTCTCCTATCTTGTATATATGGGGTCCACATGGCAGTGACTTGGACGAGCGGCGGCGGCCAGCGGCCGAGCGGCGAGGTCGGGTGGCCACGGCGGACAAGACGTGACGCGGGCAATGCGGCCAATGCTAACGGTGGCGCGACCCGGCAGAGGAGGATGGCCCGTACGACGCAGCCTTGGGTGGTGCGACATGGACCCTCGCGAAGGCCGGGTGGAGCAGCAGCTTGGCACGGTGTGGCGACGCTGTCCCGCGGCTAGATTGGCAGCGCTGCAGTCGACCAGATCGGTGGCGAGGCGGCCGGCCGGGGCCGGCGTGTGGTCGCGGGCGTGGTCGGCTTGCGGCGAGCGGCGATGGCGCTGCAAATGTTGACGTTCGCTCCTCCTTCCCCTTTTTCATTTTTTTCGTTTTCTTCTTTCTCTTCATCTACCTTTCCTGCCATGTGGACCCCACATATACAAGATAGGAGAGCTGACATGTGGGTCCAAGGGCATTTTTGACATTTCACGCGATTTCTCTCTCCTCTTCAACTGGAAATTATTATTTTAGTCGGTGTGGTGTCTACTAGCAAAATACCACGATTATAGAGTGTTTTTCCCCAAAAGTTAGTTTTTCTATGTCCTAGGGCTAAAACCACACAATAGCAGTGTCCTATAGCAAAATTTCCCCCTAAAATGGCATCTACTTCCTCCATCACATTTTAAGCGCAGCCATGAGTTTTTATGTCCAACTTTTAATCGTCCGTCTTATTTTAGTTTTTTTTAAAAAAAATTTAAAACATAAGTCACATAAAAAGTACTATTCATGTTTTATCTTCTAATAACAACAAAAATAGTAATCATAAAAAAATTTTTAATAAGACAAACGATTAAAGTGGACACGGAAACTCATGGTTACGGTTAAAATGGGACGGAGGGTGTATTCAAGAATAGTGTGAGTGTACTGTCAAAGTAGAGAGGTTCTTGGAATGATTCCTTCTTGGTGCACTTCGGAACGAAGGAGGTGAGGTCCTTAAATAGGCTGCCAATGACAGTTTGTGGCGGTTGGAAATGTTGGAAATGCCCCGCAACCGTCATTGGGGAGTGATTAGGAGCATCAACGGCGTAGCTGGGGCTTCGGCCGAACCCTAGCCTGGCCCAATCGGCCCACATCTTCTTTGGTGCGTCGCTTGATGGATCCTCTGCCCAGTGGTATGGTGATTGGGCCCATTTGCAGTTATTTTAATGGGTTTGTGAGCCCATCCATCCATAATTCTACCACTCGACCGACTTCAATTGATTGTGCACTTATTTTCCGTCGATTCTCCACCATTTAGGTGAAGATCTCATGTATTTAAATAAAATTCCAAGTACAAGTGGAAAAAGATTATTTCTAATAAAATATGCATTGCAATCATTGCAAGTTCCCTTTTATTCTGGATATATTGACGGTCGAAATTGGTCTATAAGGACCATCAACAACAATCATATTGACATTACGTTGAAATGTTTCATTTAACCTATTGCAACATTGCTCATTTAATTTGCACCATGATTTCAGATTTTTCTTTCGAAACCTTTTTAAAACTCAACCAAAGTAAAAATTGCCTATATAGTAAAATAACTTTTAATTACTATAATCAGAAAAAAATAGGTATGACTATACAAAACCATACAAGTATATTAACAAAGTACTTAGAAACGGAATGTGCATAGGAAAATTGCTCGAAATAATCAAGTTTATTGTAAGGCACACTCACTTCTAAATTCCAAAGTTATTGAGCAAAAATCACATCAACCTTTCAAGTTGTTGTTCTTGTAAGCAGAACTTTAAGGTCACCCATCTACCAAATAGTTACAGTAGCATGCTAGCTCATTTCTCAAGTTTTTTATAACTAAATTGTACCCACTTGATATATATGGGATACAATATACTCTTAAAATATTATCCACAAATATAAACATTTATGGAGTATTAATTTCCCATCCCAACAAACACATATTTGATTTCCCAATAATCAAGCGAAAGATAACAACCGGGAGGCATATATTTATGGATGGAAATTATTATGCAACTTCCAAAAACACTAGTGTGTACTCCCTCCATTCCAAAATATAAGGCACAACCACCCTTAACCAAAGACCAAGACATAATTATTATTATCTTGTAGTTTGGATCATCCGAATAAATACAATGCATGCATCCAATAGAATTAGAGAATGTGAGAGTGAAGGATTTAAAGAATTAATAATTTAATGGAGAAGATGTCATAGTTAATTGTATGCATGCGTGTATACCTTATGTTATGGAACATCTAAAAACGTGGTTGTGCCTTATATTATGGAATGGAGGGAGTATTAAGTTGCGTGTTCGCACAACTATAACCGCTCCTCTCTGTTTAATACGTCTATAGGTTATTCATAGTAATAATAAACTTAAATTTGTAATGACAATAAATCATAATTACACCTTTCGACGGGTATATAGCTGATAGTCATATTAATTAATACATCACAGATATATACTATATATACTCAAGACTAATATATCTACGTTGAATGATGTGAAGCTGATTCTGAACCCATGAATCTTCATTTAAGGTGCAAATTATTCTTTTTTCCTTCGTTTTTAATTTATTGCTTTTACAGATCATATCTGACGTTTTTCTCGATCCTTTCCTCTATCGGATGGTTCTTGTTTTTTAGATTACGTGGATCAATCAAGTGGTGTTCTGAGTTCTAACTAATTTCACTAATAGAGATAAGCTTCCTCGGCAATTCCACTACTGATCAAGCAAACTAGGATGATGTGGGGCTCTGTGTCTCCTTTCCTATCCGTTCCTCCCCTCAATTGTCTTGGGATTCAATTGTAGTGTGGTCCTGCTAAGCTCTATATAAAGCCGTCCCAAATGCTCCATACACACAGCACCTAAGCAAAAACCAACAACACACCCACATTCACTGCTAGTCTGGGTATACAAGCATATATGGCGTCTGAGACAGTGGCATCCAACTTCGAACCTTCACTGTGGAGCACCTTTTTTATTGACTATGAGCTGAAGCCACTGCAGGCATATCTATATACTCTATATTTTTACTTCGTAGGAGCCTCATTATTTCGCTTATACTTATCCTACCTCCATTTCAGGTTATAAGACTTTTTAGCATTGGCTATATTCATATAGATGTTAATTAATCTAGGCACAAATATATGTCTAGATTCATTAACATATATATTAATGTGAGCAATGCTAAAAAGTCTTATAATATGAAACGGAGGAAGTAATATTTAAATTAATTATGGAGTTATTTTTGTTTTTTACCGTAGTAATTAACATTATGATGCATGATTAAAGAAAATTCAATTACTAGTTTCAGCAATTTTTCCCCGCAAAAAAAAGTTTCAGCAATTCTATATCTTTTATAATGTAGGTAGGGTACGTATATCATAGTTTTATTATTTGCGTAGCCTAAATATTTGATGGACTTCCTACGTGATGAGATGATCACAAAAATTAACAATCAACATGTTCAGATTTGAATAAGCGCTTATATTCAAGCAGAATTAATGTGTACATATATATTTCTGATGTTTTTCTTGCACATGGTATTAGTTCATGTAAGATTATCTTTCCTTTTTTTTCATAATTTCTGCATGTACTACTTTTGACAAATTAATTATTGCTAGAACTGTTTCATGAATATTGTAATGTTATTTCACAAAGCTTGCGTGGTTAATAATCTCTTTTTGATAACTATAATAAATCAAACTCGTGAATCCAACCAACCAGAGATCGGAAGAATGGATGAGGAAGAGAGCTGACGAGCTCAAGGAGAAAGTCCGCACGCAACTTGGGACTTGTGAAGACATTGTGGGGACGATGAACTTAGTGGATGCAATCCAACATCTTGGAATTGAGCACCTCTTCAAACAAGAGATAGACAACACATTAAGAGACATTCGTACAAGTGAATTTACAAGCTCTAGCCTCCATGAAGTTGCTCTTTGGTTTCGCTTGCTTAGGGAGCATGGCCTATGGGTTTCTCCAGGTACCTACCTTATAAATAAAGACTAGAAGTGGTATTTATGCTAAAGATTAAAGATAAGATAATAAGATAATGATTGACCATAAGTGAATAAGATACTATCTTTTGAGTTCATTGTTTACAAGTGAATATAAAATTCAACTAGTTGTTCACTGCTAACTTTTTAAGAACAAGATACATAACTCTTTTACTCCATGGGATCTACTTTATTTCCTATCATGTCAATAAACATTGTGGTGTCTATCACAACCAAATACCACCTGATGTGGGCTCCCATATATATGGATTACTTGGTCATTTTAGGTTGTCCTTGTTCTAAGGATAATAAATCAAAATGAAAACGCTAGCAAATTAAACATTCGGATTGAATAGATGCAGAGTAGTTAGCCACACAAAGTTTTTGGCCACACGATATATTTGCTACTACCCCTGTTTTCATATTATAAAGGCAAAATTTGCTACAGGACACCTAAAAAACGTGTAATTAGCCGTGGGACACCATAAAAACATGAATTAGCTGTAGGACATCGTAAAAGAATGGTAATTAGCCACTAGACACCGGAGACATTATTTTATTATTTTCGGTGGAAACAGAGAGAGAAAGAATGTTAAAAGTATGAAAATGCCCCCGGCTGCGAGCACTCCCTCTCTAGCCTCCTCGTCGCCCTCCTTGCCGGTGCCGCGCACGCCGGTCGCCTCCAAGTCACCGTCGAACATCATCCGCTTGTTCCGCAGACGCTCCAACAGTGCCCTAGCGTCGTACACCCACCGTCCCTTGTACAGCTCGCACCCCCTTTCCCACCACCTCTCAGATTCGCCTCAATGTCGACGCTGCTGTTGTTACCCCCTACCAACTCGTAGGACATGGACATGGGCATGGACTCGGATGAAGAGACCTGTTGGTGTTGGGGCGTGGATGGAGTTGACCTTTTGGTGTGCAGCCTCCTGCATTTGGCGGAGGTCAGGGGACCTGGTGCACGCGTGGGGGATAAAGAAGATATTGGAACATCAATTATAAAGCATGTTTTAATTATCATGGATATTTAATGTGATTGGCATATTTCTCTATATTTTCCATGGTATATTTTTATTCATTTGCATCGCTCTATACAATTAAATTATATTTACTCTTTTTTAGGGTTGGCTATATTTTTCTTATTTGTGTCCAAAACAATGAGCACAACACAAAGACGCTACTAGCTAATTAAGAAATGTCCTGTTACCTTATGAGGTTGCCAAAATAAAAATATACAGTACTAAATGAGTTAAAAATAAATATTATTTCTGCTGCGTTGCAGATGTATTTGGAAAATTCAAATTCGACGGTGATGATGCAAGGTTAAGCAGTGTAATTGCTGATCATGACACAAGGGGTTTGCTAAGCTTGTACAATGCTGCTCACCTCCTAGTACATGGTGAGCCAGAACTCGAAGAAGCTATCTCTATCGCAAGACATCGTCTCAAATCAATGACTAGGGATTGTGACTTGAATCCGGTGTTAGCTAATCAAGTCAACCGCGCCCTGAACATAGCACTGCCAAGGACATGCAAGAGATTAGAGACGTCACTGTTTATTTCAGAATATGAACAAGAGGAAGGGTATAGTGAAATTCTTCTGGAGCTTGCAAAGCTAGATTTTAACATTGTACAGAACGTGCACCTGATGGAGCTCAAATCTATCTCTGAGTATGATTCTTTCTCTTATGGTAGTGAAAGCAACTAATTAATACTAACTCTGTCCCAAAATATATAAACTTTGAGCTATATGTATCTAAAACATAGCTAGAAGTTATTATAGATTGGGACCAAGAGAGTAATTAATATTGATGCCCTCAACAGTAGGCGCATATAATTAATTATACCCTAAACAAATTTGAAATAATAACTTTTCAGGTGGTGGAGAGATCTATACACGTATGTCGGGTTAAATTATGCTAGGGACCGTGCAGTGGAGGGCTACTTGTGGTCGTGCTTGGTATTTTATGAGAAAGATTTATCTTTCACCCGAACGTTTGTCGCAAAAATGATCTTGCTAGTTACCTTGATGGACGACACATTTGATTCCCATGCTACCATTCAAGAATGCCGACAGTTAAACTCAGCAATACAAAGGTGGGATTTGCTTTTCCGAAACTTACGTAGTTTAGAATTAAGAACGAACATAACATGCCATTGTTATGCAGAATTGTACACATTGTTGATCATATATAGTCATTTTTCACAATTATATAATAAAATAATATATAGAAATATGGTATAATTAATTTCATCAGGTTAATATTATTAAATTAGCAACATATAGTTATCATCCTATTGTTGATGCCAATGCAACTAAAAAGATAACGCTTTGAGTCATGGCTGACATGTAGATTAAATGCAACAATTTTAACCAGACCGTCTAAACGATATATATTAGTTGAATTGTTGTGTACTTTATATATTGTGATGCCACACATCCAAAATTATCATTTATTATTGATCACTATGAATATGTCAAATCAAAAATTGAAAACCACCCTCAATTTGGCCCAACCAATAAAATAAAGAGTTTGCTCTATGTCAACCGTCCCCTACTGACTAATGCCTTGATGTTTCTTATTTTATCCAACTAATATAGTGATTTTACTAGATTATCTAAGTATTACATATAGGTGCTAGATTAGTAATATCTTTTATTCTTGCACGGGATATTGATATTTCTTTGTACAATTCTTAACTTGTTCAGTTGGAGTCATCATGTATACGTATTTATGAGTAGTTCTGTTTGGATCCAATAGTACTGCATTGTATAACCATATCACACGAAGTAGTAAACATCATTACTACCAGTAGTGATAATTACTGGAACAGGAATAAAACAATTATACAATTTAGACCAATGATAATAGTGGGCAATAAGCCAACTACAAGTTTATGTGCACATGAGAGAGAAAGGAAAGTGAGGAGTTTTGGCTTTCATGCAAGAGCTAGCTATACACTTGCTTCAAGACATTTACATTAAATCCATAGTGAGAGAGATAGAGATGCGAGATAAAATAGAGTCAACCTTCTAGTTAGTCTATTATACATTTTAGCTTTAGTATGAGCTAATAGCCAATAGTTAGCTATACTATTATAAACTTGCTCTTAGTAACATCGCTGGATGATGGCAATAATTTATTATGAAGGCGCACAAAGAGTGGTATCTGAATGTAAATTATATGTATATAATCAACGAAGAAATTTTGCTACATATTTGGTTAATTTTTTCTTACCATACTCTTTCCCGGCCACCGGTGAGATGGATAGCTACACCATTTTCTTTTCCTCTAACTGAGAATTTCATATGAGTGTGTAATTTGTATATGTACATATTAAACCTTGGTGCAAACAATTTGGCTTGTCTTTCAGATGGGATGAAAGCGCTGTCACACTTCTACCAGAGTATCTGAAGAAGTTCTATAGAGAACTGTTGAGGAACTTCAAGGTGCTTCAGGATCAAGTGACAGACAACGACAAGTACAGGGTCACTTACACTAGAAAGGAGGTATACTATACATGTACCTAGCTAATTCTTTTCATAATCTGAAAAATGCTCCTTGATCTCTCTAATTGCAATTAAATTCAGTATGGTTAGTTCTGTTTTTACTAATTTCCTTAGTTGTGTGCAGTTCCAGAAACTGTCCACCTACTATCTCCAGGAAGCTGAACCAAGCTTCGGTGACCAGATTACTTTGACAGCTATGTCCTCGGTCATTCCACTACTATGTGTGAGTGGGACGGTAGGCATGGGTTATGTAACCATGGAAACATTTGAGTGGGTAGCCAGTAGAACCACCGCTATAGTAGCATCGGCAAAAATTGGGCGTTTCATGAATGACATTGCCGCAATGAAGGTACAAATGACTTAATTGGATTAATTGTCTACCATTTTAATAATGATATGTTAGATTTGAATATCTGATGAAACAATCTTCTGGATATGTATTTTAAGTTAGAGGAAGATTGCTGTCTAATCAATATTTCTTGTACATGAACGGACGTAGCGCGGAAAGAACAAAGGGGATGTTGCGAGCTCCGTGGAGTGTTACATGAATGAGCACAAGGTGACGATGGAGGTTGCAATTGACAAGATTGATTCACTTGTAGAAGATGAATGGAGAACATTGAACCAGGCTCATTTCGAGGATCATAAACTGTTTCCTGTCGTGGAGCAAGTTGTAAACCTGACTGCTTCCATGGCTTCGTTTTACGATGAAAGGAAGGATGCATATACATTTCCCACCCTTCTTCAGGACACTATTGAGTCTCTCTTCGTCAATCCTGTTCCTATATAGACGATATACTATATCAGTTAACTAGCTTAAGTGGTGCTGCCAGTCCAAATATAGTTGTAACATCCTCAAAATTATAATTGGGGGTTATTGTTGGCTAGTTTGAATAATCCTGAGGTAGCCCCAAGCTCTCGTTGGTGTGGTGTGCATAGCGGGAGCAGAAGCACTTCAGATGGACTTTGTTAGAGATGCAAAAGGCACGGAGATCTCGTCAGTTGGCACCGTGTTGATTGCATCAGTTTAGCACATGTGTGCATGAGTTTGCGCGGTGTCGCGTGAGTGTAGCCGAGAAATGGGGATCGTGGGATGGCACGAGATCTTGACTTGGCGGTGTTTAAATAGTTAGTATTTGCTTTGTACGCACTTTTGATTTTCAGAGAAATAGAGGAAGAAAAATGCCCCACAATCTCTCTGTTTTTCCAGTTTCCAAAACTCTGTTCTTCATTTTTGTAATCTCTGAACTTTCCTGGATTAGCTACAGTTCGTAGGTTTCAAGTTCACCACCTACATTTATACATGTTAATTTTAAGCAAATATACGATAATGTTCTATCAAATATTCTCTAACAAAATTATTATGAGGACTATAAGATTTCCATTTACGTCATAGATCACTATAAAAAAATATACATCATAGCGCACTACAATTCTGTACATAGAAAACCGCCTAGTAATAAAAATGTAGAAATGGTTCTACTTACTGTGTATAAGCAGGCATCCTACAGCATGGGTTATTAATGAAACCATCTTTCCTTGTATATTTACATATGGTTATTTGAAATTCTCTGTAATACTAATACACATCATTTTTCTTCAATTTTCCATAAAACCAAAGCTTTTCGAATACAAGAATCCGTTTGGTGGCCATCAACCTCTCAGACATCCTGCTGCTCTCATCATCCTGATTTTCATTCCCGTTCTACACACACCCTACTCCCCTATGGTGGTCCGCTGTATTCGCCTCCATGGCATGGCAATCTCACCCGCCTCCACTCAATGGTTTGGGAGGGGGAGTAGCTCAACGCTTAGGTGTGGTCAGATCTAGTGGCCCTAATTAAACACGTAGGCTATGAGATTCAACACCCGATCCACACCCATAATCTATGAGAGGCCATTGCCCACATCTGCGATGAGAAATTAGTTAGTGATGAGAAAGGCTCATCTATGATGGGTAAACACCTGTTAGTAGTTCTAGCTCTTACCCCCAAGCCCCGACACCCACCCTCGACACCGCCGGCAGTGATCCCCGCTGTCGACGCCATCGTCGTCCCGTTCACCACCCAAACTCCACTCCCCAACGCTAGAAACCTTCGAACCGAACCCCCACTCTCTTTTGCCAGATCAAATCCAGCATGACAGTGCTACGAGTCTTCAACCCAAAGGTAAAGCTACAGTGCCCTTCCTAGATCTAGTATTGGATCCGGTCGTCGGTGCTCCGCTTCAAGTCGTTGCTCAGATCTGTCCACTGCAAGAAGCAAGCTACAAATCAATGCTGCTCTCATCTACTGCAATTAAAGGCTCCTGCTCCCGCACCGGCCGATGTCTTTTCAAACTCAAGTGCGGTGGTGACCTTCAAGCAAGGCTTAAGTAAGAGCACAGCAGGAAGAGTGTCTGTCCACAAAAGATTGCAGCCAGTTGCAAGAGATTCTCTTCCCCCCGAAGGGCCCTCAAAAGTCTCCGCTTCCAGTAGGGTTCTCAAGAGTAGCAGAGTCATTTCTGTAGTGTCACATCCCCCTGAGCAAGCAAGCGTGCTACTCCCATCTAGCTCTGCTTGGAGTGAAGTTAAGGCTAAATATTGGTGGAGAAAACAGCATTCATCACGCAGTTCCTCTACCCTAGAAGAGCGAACTAGATTGAGAAGAGCTCATTTCCTGCACGTCATGGAAGGAAGATGCTTTAGATGCCTTGAATCTGGCCACAGAGTAATCGATTTCCTGTACCTCTTAAGTGTTGGTTCTGTAGAGGGATTGGACATGAAGCCAAGCTCTGCCCCAAGAAGAGATCTAGCTTTAAATCCCCAATGGCTCCTTCCTCTCTACCCGCTCTGCTTCCAAATCCAACTGAGTTTCCCCCACTCCCTTCTCGTCCAAGCCAGCTTGCTTCGGCAAGCGTCTCGAGAGAGGCCGCCATGGATGAGCTCCTGGTGCGCAGGCCAGACTCCTCCATTGTTGTTGTTGCCACCACTGGGGAGATCGAGCGCAACCATGAGAGATTTGCTCTGTGTTCCTTTGTGGCGTGGGTGGCTGACAACCAGGGAAGGCCAGTGGAGGAAAGCACCTTTGCTGATGACCTTTCGCACGGCTTTCCGCCTGCACCGTCGTGATGTACAGGTGATGAAGTACTACCCTGAGGACTTCTCTGTTACTCTTTCTCGCCCTGCAGATAGGGCGCATATTCTTTGCCAGCCAAGGTTGGATTGTCACTCGGGGAGATCCTATCACCTCAAGGCACGGGATGCCCGCCAAGAAGCCCACCACGTGTACTATCGCTATCGAGCAAGGTTGTGCATGGAGGGCATCCCAATGCATGCTCGTACTGAAGCAGTAGCCGCCAAGCTCATAGGTCCAAGATGCGCCATCAACTTCATCGAAAAATACACGCGTCGTCACAACTACAACCACACCTTTAACCTCTGGATCTAGACAAATGATCCTGGGGCCATTCCGAAGATGGCTTGGTTGGGACTGGTTAATCCTGATGATGAGCCGGTCCCATTGACACTCCTCTGCCGTTGATTGACCCCATGGACAACCCCCCCCCCCAGAAGGGCCAAAAGATGGCTGGTCGCATCCGGTGTTGATTCATCTTGACACCCTGGAAGATGTGCAGCCTCGACCGATGTTGTACAAGCAGTATGAATGGACCTATGGGGTCCATGATGATGTTTCTCGTACTCGCTCTCGCCCTTTGCCTATTCCATGCAGGCAGGAGCCCAGTGTTGTGCGGGGGCCGAAAGAAGATCCTGATGGAGATGGTGGTCGCCCACATTCTCGCTATCATAGCCGCTCCAGGTCCCTTTGGGGTCGTCTCACGGGCCGGTCGCGCAACACTGACCGTGGGGTCGATGATCAAGGCATCTACAACTAGGACAACAAAGGTCGCCAGCGCAACAAAGACGCCTTTACCTCCAGAAGCCGCAGCCAACACTCCAGGAGCCGAGCTAAGGTCAGCAGTGGCGGATTTAGGCCATTGCTGTGGGGTCGGCCGACCCCACAGCTTTTTGAAAAACGTCCTATAAATCTTAATTTTCATGTATAAATCTAAAAGAATTTAGAGAAATGATCCCACTTAAATACAAAACACTAGTAATTGATCCCATAGGTTTAAATTCCTAGTTCCGCCACTGCAGGTCAGGGTGCAACACTCTTCATCCCCCTCTCACAGACTTCTTAAACCTACTCAAGCTGCCACAAATCTCTCACCCTGCAATGTGCGCAAACCACATAGAAGTAAAAGTCCGAGGGGAGGTGCGGGAGCTCTCCTTATTGTTCCGTCTTCCCCTCCAGCTGAGTTGTTCTTCTTGCATCAGGATAACTGCGGGAATCAGGACCATCTGGATGATCCAATGCTGGAGGAAGCAGTGATCAACTACTCGCCTGATGGGGGGCCGGAGCAGCAGGAATCCCCGGTGTATGCTCCAACTGCAGAGGGTCTAGCGGTACTTCAGTCTGATGTGAATGCCTCTGCTTCTGACCTGATAGCTTCGCTTGCAACTCCGGTGAGACCACCAATCTTGCCATCCCCAATTCATATTCACTCAAAAAAGCCAAAGGTCATTTTAAACTCTTCACAAAGGCATAGCGAAAGGCTTGAAAAGAAAAAAAGGAACAACTGCAAAGTTGAACTTATTGCTCAGGAAATTATTTCCAAAATATTTGGAATTATGAACGAAGGGGATTCCTTTGATGATAATGTCAAAAAACTGTATTTGCAGCGCTTCAAGCAGCCGCTTACGCCTCGCTCTTTGAAGATGATTGCTGATCTCGTGGAGAAGGGTGGCTGCAAGAAGCTGAAGATCAAGGTTGCCAAGGGGAGGGTAGTTAGTGACTCCAGCCTAGAACCCAATGTGTGCAAGACCTGGAGGGCGCCTACATAAATATATGGGTGCCGGTTCCCCGAGACGGATGTTGGGATGCCAGAGAAGAAGATCTCAGAGCTTCATAGACCCATGGTGCCTGCTGTTTTTTTGCCCCTCTGCACCAACAAGCTATTCAGGCTCTTACCACTCTATGTAACCTAATGCATGGCTTATGTGTTGTCGATCACGCGTCTGATCTAGTCTGCAGGAGACCAAACTCTAACTTGTGTGTGCAATGCATGATGCTGAATGCTGAATCCTTCTTTTGCTGCATGATTATGTCTACTATCTGCTGTGATGCTAGCTGCTGCTCCACATTCCACTGCTTATGGATGCTACTCTTGTACCTTCATGTCTCAAAAACATTGCAAAATTGTGTGTTGGAACGTTAGAGGGCTTAATGCCCCAGCCAAGAAGGAGGCAGTTAAGTTATTGATGCAGCAACACAAACCAACAGTGGTTTGCCTCCAGGAGACAAAATTACAGGATGTCTCTAAAAACTGTATTGTACAGATATTGGGCCCTAATTTTCAGAATAATTTCTTCTTCCTGCCTGCTGATGGTACCAGGGGGGGTATTATTTTGGCAGCAGATGACAACTACTATAGACTTTCCCAGTGTGAGCTGAAATCCTTTTCTTTGACTACAAAGATTGTGATGAGAGAGACAAATGATGCATGGACCATCACTGTGGTCTATGGTCCCCAGCAAGACGCAGAAAAGATAGCTTTCCTTCAGGAATTGTAACAACTGGTCCCTTTCACTCTCCCATCTTGGCTTATCTTAGGAGATTTCAATTTGATCTATAAAGTTGAGGATAAAAACAATGACAAGTTGGATAGAAGAATGATGCAACAGTTCAAAAGGACAATTGACAGGTTGCAAATTAAGGAGCTAAACCTATAGGGAAAAAATACACTTGGGTTGGAAATTCTCCAAATCCAACACAAACAAAAATTGATAGGTGCTTTTGCACCCCTGAGTGGGACCTTCTATTCCAAAACTCAAGCCTAGTGCCTCTTTCAAGTTCTTGTTCTTTTCACACTCCTTTGCTTCTAATTGGAGATGATGCTTTCCTGAGAGAAAAAACATTCAGATTTGAAAGCTACTGGCTCAAATACCCAACCTTCTATGATACTGTCCAAATTTCCTAGAACAGACCGATTAACTCAAATAACCCTCTGGCAAATTTTAGGCTAAAACTTTCAAGACTCGCAAGAGATCTTAAAAGATGGGAATCCAGGCAAGTAGGAGATATCAAGCTATAGCTTCCGATTGCAAATGAGGTAATTTTCCAATTTGATGTAGCCCAGGAAAC